ATCAAGTCCAGGATCTGGCTGATTTTTGCACGAGGTTATAGATCTCTAGTAGTATATTTATGGTTAAGCTATCGCTTAAATCATTATTTATGCTGCGACATTGAGACAACAAGCGATCCATCTGAGCGTTTTCTTGGACCAGATCAGGATCGTTTTTATTTCCAGTTTTTCCTTGGTCGTACATCAAATTAGTGAGGAGATAAGCAGGGAACATTGTTAAGGATATACTAGATATATTGTAAAAAAATTGGCTTTAGTCCCCGTAATCCTCCAAATGATAGTGCACATACCAGAAAAATGTGTTTCGACACTAGTTCCTCAGGCAACGGGACCTTTTGAAGTTTTTTTATAGAAACGAACTACATTTAATTACATCTTTCTCTGCGAGTTTCTAGTCCAACAAGTGTGAAGTGCCCGAAAAAGTATAACCAACCTTTTCGAATATTCGTCCTAAGATTGGCTCATATTCTGCGATTTTTTATTCGACAAAAGTATTTTTATTAATAATCAATGTAGTCTTTGAAATTCCTAGATGAAATGCAACTGAATGAAGGAGAAGTACACCTCAAGGTTGTATCGCGGCAAAGGATTGGTTAGATACAAACGAAACCTCCGTCAATGAATCTAGCGAACCTATCTTGTATTAGAAATTAGAAGTAAAAACGATTTCCTTCATTCGATCGTGACAATCACGTAGGCAGCGATATTTGGTTTATGCTGCTTTATCCCTAGAAAATAGTTGATGGAATCAGCAGGATGAGTCATCCTGTTGTTTACAAGAGCTGATCTCAGTACAAATAAATTGAGCAATGAAGGCCTAATTCTGATGCAAGATATCTTTCGCTTTAGAGACTAGATTGTTTCAAGTTTTTTTCGGTTTTACCATTAGAAATGGCAAAACACGTGTGATGGTTTTGTTGCGGCCGCTGTCGAAAAGCAAATTAGTATCGAAAATATATCTCTATGAAGGTTTCTCGTTGTATATCTTGATCTATAGGATCAAATGAAAAAGCTTTATTTTACTCCTAATCTCTAGGACCAGATCTGTACGGACACTACAAGAATTCGCTTGTGCTCGATGCATCCGTTAGCCCCATCTTAAGTTTGAAAACTGACATATGTTTTTCATATATGGTAGAAATATCTTATTTATTCATTGAATTCTTTCGGAGTTAGATACAGACAATTCTTGTCAGCAGATAAAACTGGTGCTTGGATGCACCGTTTTCTTCATATCTTACAAAGGTTCTGAAATATATTGAATATAGCGTTCGAAAGTCCACAACTAACTTTATCTATGGCGAAAATATCTTGTTTGTTTACTATATCGTCCCAAGTTAGACATCGGTCACTTATTTCTTACACGTCAAGTGATCGACATCAGGACCCGATTTGCTGATTATCGCCAGAGATGACCTTGTAAACATTGTTTTGGTCATATTCAGAATCTCTATGATGTTTTACATACATTCACACATGACTGGTACCGGATATGCAGACTATAGGCGATTTTTATACCACGGTTCACCCAGTTCACTGTTCACGTAGTTCGTTCAAGGAACCAAAAGTGTTTCTCCGGCTTTCTTCCATCCTAGAAGTGCTTGACAAAATGCTGATTTGTTTCTGTGTTGAGATTTTCAATTTCTGCTGTGAAACAAAAATCGATCTTATCCCACGCCCCCTTTTACTCAGCATCTTATTAGCCAATATTTTTAGTTTTTTTAATATTTTCATGTTCTAAGGAGTCAGACTGTTGTTTTCCTATGCAGCGATACCAACTATATTCAACTGCGATAAAAAAATACGAGAAAAAACTGTGCAACATCTTACTTGAACTTAAAAATAGGACTGGAAATATTTGAACTTTATAAGCTGAATACGAAGTATGTTTAGCTAAATCTACAGAATGATACCACAAGGAACAACGATTTGGGAGCAAAACTCACAATTTTTTTCGTACATGCTTTGTGCATGACAACTAGTATCAAATCCCGTTGGTATAGAAAATTACAGGAATTAAAAATGGATGGTGCGGAATTAGTTATATTATGTAATAAAATAGATGCCATCAAAGATAGTGAACTTAATGATGCCAAGGTTCGAACATTTGTCGATCAAGCGGAGACATTCGCAAGTGAAAATAATATACCTCTATTTCATACATCAGCATTAACTGGTAAAAACATCCATACAGTGTTTAATCAAATGATATTATCTATACTGAATAATCACACTCTTTTGCGAACAATAATAGGGCGTGCTCAGGATGCCGCGGAAAC